GTGAGCATTGACGTTTTCCTGTCCGCCAATCAATGGATTGTATAGTGTGACACTAGTAGCTCCGCCCTAACCGTACCATACAATTTCCTATGGCCCTACATCTGAAGGAGGACCAGGAATGGTGCGGTTCGGTTGTATGGCCCACTTTCATAATGGAAACACTCAAAATAACGTACCGAACCAACCCGAACCGTTCCGCTCGGTGGAAACGAGGCATTAGTGTATTTTTATATTAATATATGTATATATTAATAAAACAAATACGCTTAGTATGACATTATATATAAGATATATATACATATTATATATAGATATAGGATGTTATTTTTTTTTATTTACTTATCAACTTTTTTTTTTTTTTTTAAACCTTTTTCACCAGCAGGGGGACTGCCTGTCAGTTCAGGCAGACCCCTGTGGGCAACACTATGGACACCTATTGCGGCCATGTGAAGTCACATGGCCCATGGAGTCCTAATTCGCTGTGGGGGGACTGTCTGTCCCCCAGATGAAGAGGAAGACCAATCGCTGGCGAGGGAACGGCAGCGATCAGGTTAGTAATTAGGAATACCTCGGACGTAGTAGGTACGTTTGAGGTCCTGTTTTTTTTCATTTTTTTTTCTACTTAAATATTTTTTTTTTTTACTATTTGATTTTTACTGAGTGCCTCAACACTTCAAGGCACTCAACACACAGGCAGAGCATTGGAAGCCTGCCTGATGACTTCCGATGATCTGCTACACTGCCGGCGGCACAGCAGTCAGGGGAGGTATTGCAGGATGCCTCGACATCAAGGCATCGCTGCAGTACAGTTAGAGCGGCTGGAAGCGATCAGGTACGTCTGCGGTCGTTTACGACTATTTTTTTGTCGGACATACCTGGTAAGTCCGCGGTCACTAAGGGGTTAAATAACTGAAACCAAATTGCAACATTTACAGAGTTATTCACTAAACTGAGAATTCAATGCAAATTTTACATTTAAAGGAACACTATAGGGTTAGGAACACAAACCTGTATTCCTGACCCTATAGTGCTAAACCCACCATGTAAGCGGCTCAGTCCCCTATAAAGGAATAAAAACTCACCTTATTTCCGCCCGATCCTTGATGACATCAGAATTGCCGATTTTTTGCCAATCCAATGCTTTCCCATAGGGAAAGAATTGGTTTGGTTAAAATCGGCTAGGAGGCGGGATGGGGCGGGGCCAAGCGCTGTTTTGGCCAACCAGCACCTCTTCATAGAGATGCATTGAATCATTGCATTTCTATAAGCAAAATTCAGAATCCTAATCCAGAGCGTGGAGACACTGAACGGCAGTGCTGCCTACTGTGCAGCACTGCACCAGGAAGCACCTCCAGTGGCCATCTGAGGAGTGGCCACTTGAAGGTGTCCCTAGGGGCAATGTTTGCATGAAAATGCCTTCAGGTAATAATTATACTCACCAGAACAACATTAAGCTGTAGTTGTTCTGGTGACTATAGTGTCCCTTTAAGGCCATAACAGCTTATTTGGAAACATATTCTAAGCCAGCCACATTTTTCAGTTTGGCCTTAAATATTAAATTCACTGCGAATGCTCACTTTAGTAAATAACTCGTAGAGTTAAAATAGCTGATTTGCCATAAATCTTCATTTTTGGTATAATCAAAGCAAAGTTATTTTAGCCTATAGTTTGCCTTTATGATTCTATTTATGTATAATTTAGAGCTTAGTCGATAAACTCCTGTGATATATTTAGGCAAGATAGGAAGGGGAACTAGACATTTACTTTAAATTTCCCATTTATGCCATCATCACAGTCTGCTATCCAAAGACACAATACCAGAATTGAATGGCCAACTTCACACAAACGCGACACTGCTGTGATTGTAGGCAAAAAATTGTGGAATTTGACAACTTTTAATTCCACTATTTTGTTCTTAAATGTTAATTTGTATTTAAATTCCTGACAAGTTACTCTTTACTTATTAACCTTCTGTATTGTGCTAGGAGACATTTCAAAATGGTTTATTACCGCTTTAGGGAGTGCCTTACCTTTCGAGGAATAAAACAGCTTATATAATAAATATGGTGAGCTTGTTTTGTGAGAAAGGGACTTTCCACTATCCTGGTTTTACTAAGGTATGAATGTAGAAATTAGTACTGTGTTCGGAGTGACTCAAATACTTTGGCTGCAGCACTAGTTACAAGAATTATTACAACAGGTTCTTTATACAAAAATAAATAAATAATCATTCTCTGGATCCTCAAATAAAAACTTTCAAAATCTCTAATCAATTAAGAAACAGATGGTTCATGCCATCATCATGGACTGCTTATGAAAGATACATGTATTGTAAGTATCTGTGACATTAGGTTTGACATAAACTACAAGCCCATGTGTCCCTTGTTTTGTATGGGGATAGGAGTAGGTAAATTGGTGGTTTTTCAATTTCCAATGCAACTTCAACTATCCTCAGCCAGACATCCAGCAAGAGTTAATTTGGGCTAGAATCCATTTATTGAATATTGGCAATTTATTGAATATAAGCAATAAATGCTGGTTTATGAGCAAAACAAGTGTGGCATTTAGCCATCCAGACTGGGACTTGCTTAAAGCTAGTCCAAGTATTGCAAACAGACAGATACATGTGTAGCCACTGGTCTCATAAAGGAACACTGAGAATGGGTTGTTTTGGTAAATGTATCTCTGTGATAACAAACAGCAGATGGAAGCTCCTTACCATTCAATTTTCAGACCTGCTAATCCTTAGCTCCCCCTCTCTGTCTCTCTCTAGTCTTGATAGTAAATTGCATAATTAACACAGATTAATTAATATGGACTGTCTGTCACTCTATGTACATGTAAGAAAAGTAGCCCAGCCCAGTGACAGAATAAAGCTTCCCCTTAACTGCCAAACAATTATTCAGTATCAAAACACCTTTAACAAGAAGGGATAAAACAGCACTGACCTGCACTGTGACATGTTGCTGTTCCATCAACAAATATGGCGCTTCCTTGTTACCCAGAATGCACTGTACATTAGGGACTTTACTCACTGAATTCTCCTCCCACTGCCTGCTGTAAATTCAATGTGATGCTGTATTTACTGTATAGCAAGGGATGGGCAGAGGGGAGATCTCATCTGGTGTACAATTACATCCACCAGACTACTTTGCCAGTAAGGAGAAATTTAGCTATGGTTTTATTTTAGCTATATTATTTTTTTTGTGGGGAACAATGTGAAAATTCCTCCAATTCAGTTATAATTACAGTGTGGCATCTTGGCTTCAAGTTTGCAAATTATTTCAACTCACTAGAATAGTGAGTTATCGTGAATAAACGTTATGAATTTCCAGTAATTCGCACTGAAGGGGATAAGCCATATAAGGTGTGTTCGCTAAACTTAATTGTAGGGAATTAATGGGACAATATAGTTAGTTTAATGTAGTGGTTCTGGTATCTATAGCATGTCCCTGCAGGCTTTTCAACGTAAACGCTGCATTTTCAGAGAACTGAATGCATCTCTATGAGGAGATGATGATTGGCGCAGGAGGGTGTTGTGCCATGCATGCGCAATGCCTCTGATTGCTTTCCTACAGGAAAGCATTGAATTGGCTGAGATCATTAAGATTGATTATCTTAGTAATACAGGCAGAGCCAGCCACGGTAAGGCGATCACAGAGTGGGAGAAAACAGGAGTACAAAATCCAATTCTGACAGACTAATTAATAAAATTATTGCAGGAGTTATTTACTAAGTTTGGAAATATAGTGAGTTGGCAAAGGGATTTTAACAAAGTTATATACTAAAATGAGAAATGAAAGAGAATTGCAAATGTAAGGTCAAATTAGCCAAACTGGAACAATTCTCCAAGTCAGCTATGCTTCAATTTTGGTTACTGTGGCCTTAAATTTAAAATTCACTTTATTGAATAATCCTGTAAAAGTCAGGCTAAAATAATCTAGACAAAGAGACAAACTTTTTTTCTGACCTTGCTATTTCGACCTAAGGTTTGCTATGGTCTATTAAGTAAATATATCCCTGTGTCAATGGCCACGGAACATTCAGCAGGGGAGATCTTTAACTGAAGGATAACTCTTCAAATACAGGGACTTCCCCTTTTCTGATAAATGTCTACATTTATTAGAATGGAATTGGGACATTTCCAGGGATAATTTATTCAGCAGTCTTCATATAGCCAAATTTTCTTACCTAAAGGGACACTGTAGGAATCTAAAACACTTCATGATCCGGTCGTTTTATCCCTGCAATATAAAGCATTGCCAAATTGGAGGAATAGCAATGTTTATATTGCAGGGTTTAAATGTCTCTAGAGAAACTCTGACAGCCACCAGAGGCACGTTTGTGTCCAAAAAGCAATCAAATCTGATTGGTGCAGTGTGACATTTTGCTGCGCATGTGCACTTGCCTTAATTGGCTGGGATCATCAGTCTTAATGGTCACAGCTCTGGAGGCAGCATGCAAACCAGTGTTGGGAGGAAGAAATTATATGTAAAACTGCTTTATTATTTTAGAAACCAGGCAGAGCGGGGTTCCTTTAACTCTGAATGTGCCTTGAGATTATGGAAATATATTAACTGCACTTTTGTGGATTATAATAGAATGTCGCAATTTGGACACACAATTAACCCTGTTTGAGTTTATATTGACATGGAAGTTTGATCAACTCATAAACACACATTGCTCGACGGTTCATACATTTGAAGCACTGTGATAAACCCGTGAATATGGCATTTTAGTAAATAGTTATATATATATATATATATATATATATATATATATTTATTTTTAAAGTAGCAGGATGGGGGAGATGCATTTATCCTATCAAAGGATTTGTGCAACTTAAGTGCTGAATTTGTAAAAGTGTCTCTGCAGGTTACTCAAACAATTCTCAGCATTCTGCACAGGAATGGATCTGTGTGAATTGTAAATCTCTCCCTTACAGCATATGGCCCCCAGTAAACGCAAATAAAAAGACATTTTTAATTGTAATTACAAAAGTGCAATTTATTTTACAAATCCAAATATACATATCTTTATACATAGACAAAGCAATTCATTTTAACAAGTTATATTCATATATGGCTCTTCCACTTTCAAGGAAAATGTTTAAATACAGTATGAGTTAGTGATGATAGGTCTTCATTTTGTAGATGATGCCGGTGATGGGAACGTATCATGTTTAAATCCACTGACTTTGTAAACAACAAGCAATTTAGAACACTGTAAATAAAAATGAGACAAAAAGTGTGTTTCCTTTAAAGGGACAGTTTAGGTACCATAACAATTTTATCTAAATTATCTTCTGAGATCCCTGGTTCACCTTAAGGTGTTAAACCATTGTCAAAAGGATTAACCACACAGTTTGTGCTCTTCTCCTTGCCTCTCAGCCAGTCACCCTTAAGCTGAGCCAGTGCCAGGGACCTCCTGGCACTTTAGCAACTTAATTTCAATGAAGTTGTTATGGTGCTCGGAGTGTTTCTTTAAGTAATAGCCAACACATGCTGCGATGAAAGTGGAATCTATATCTGCACCGGAAAGCAAACAATTTGCGTTACGTCCTCCGTGATACTAGTACTATTTATAACATTCTTCCTATTTCAATAGATGCCGCAGCTGGTCCTGGAGGTTTGTTGACTGCTGAACACTACACAGTAGAAAGAAAAATAAAATAGTTAAATAAAGTGGTGTAGATTTTTAACATTTAAATGTAAATTTTTAGCCCTCAAAACGCATATTTGTTAAATATAAAGGAAAAACAATATAATATTATAGAATGCAAACCGATATACCTAACATTTTAGTGTTAAACTAACTGCTTAGGTGTCCGGTACCCCCTCTGTAGAATTGAAAGGTGATTTTACTGACATTTTCTCCCTTGCCACTCCAGTTTTGCCGTGGCTGGTTCTGCCTCCATGGCCGAGATCATCAATCTTGATCATCTCAGCCAATGCAATGGTTCCCCATAGGAAAGCGTTGGGAGGCTATTGGGCATGTGCGGCAGAAAACCGTGCTGCGCCAGTCAGCATCTCCTCATAGTGGTGCAGTGAATCAATGCATGTCTGTGGGAAGCGTACAGCGTCTCCATGCAGAACGTCAGTGCTATACACTGTGAAGCATCTCTAATGGCCGTCTAAGTGACTGCACCTACAGGTGTTAGTAAGCAGCAAGGTAAACACTGCCTTTTCTCTGAAAGGGCAGTGGTTATATTAAAAAGCCTGCAGGGACAAGCAGTAGACACCAAAACAGCTAAATTAAGCTGTAGTGGTTCTGGTGACTAGAGTGTCCTTTAAGAATCCCTTAAATCGAGGTATCACCACAAATTCCTGCATACCAAAGCCCCTTTCAGTTAAGTATGACAACTTGTACAATGTATTGTTGAAAAAAAATTACCATAGAAAATAAAAAGCGAGGGGAAAAAAAAACAACCAAAAAAAACCACTGCTAAAGACAGACCTTCAGACCCAGGACAGCAATTTCATCCATGTGTGTGTCTCTTGTAACTTGAAACCTACAGAGCAGTTTCTTTGATTCTTTGTGATGTGTGAAAGTGCTCTGGGGGGATAAAGTACTTAACACAAACTCCTGCTGGACTGGGGATTTCGGGATAAGTTTTGAAACCATAACTAATACAGCAAGCTGTACGTGGGTACTACAAGTACAACGATATAGAATGAAAAATTGACTTACTTTTTCTGAATAGCCTCTTGTCTATCAGAGAAAGAAAAGAAAAAAGCATTGATATTAAGAAATCATCCGTAATTGACAACATCTTAAATGAAAAGGAAATCAAGGAGATTCTTACTGGTACTGTAGATGAGTCGTTATAATCGCCATTTTTCTGAGGCTCTGAAAAAGAAGTGAAGAGTTGGTTAGAAACAAGGCTCCTTCAGTTTACACAAGTACGGTTTTATTGTTATTGTCATACGAGGTACTTTTTCATACATCTTACAAGGGGATTCCCCCTTTCATGAAAACAGTAAATTGAAGTTCCCATGCTTAGAAGGGATAGTCCTGCCTAGGATTGGCATTTTGGTAATTACTTTACCAATGACACATTATGCTCTCCTGTCCTGCTTAGTGCCTTACCTTAAGGTTGACATTGAATGGTTCATGGCTCGGTGATACTGCAATCCTGGCACGAAGAGCTCTAGGGTTATTTACTAAACAGTGAATTGACAACTTAGCGATTTATCTGGCTTGGCTATTTGGGTCTTGAATGTGTAGTCCAAGCTGTATAACCACTACACATGATATGCTCAGCCACTCAATGGCATCCATATTTTGACAGAATTGACACATGAGCAGTACAGCAAACCACATTACTAATCCCTAGTTCAAGCTGAATAACTTTTTGACTATCAAGTTCTTAAATAGAAATATTTGTCATCCAAAAAAGCATTTTGTTAAAAGTAATTGGATTTAAATAAAAAAAAAACACAACTTTTTTTATTATATTATATTTTAATTAACTATTTTTATCACAAAAATTCGATAGAAGCTGCATTCAATTACTGATTATGATCTTTTGTCCCTGATAACAGATCTTGAAACCACGATGCAATATTCCAGGATAAAGTTTTAAACCTTAACCTCCTGTTTGATTTCTGGGGCAATAGAGTTTGTGTTTTATGACCAGGTGTATTTATTTAAATCACAAAACACACCCTTACCTAATATTAGATTTCCCACTGGCCAACACTAATTGCAGCCCACATCCACTTTTACTACACTGTGCTGTAAAATATCCAAGATAGTGATTGCACTCTGAAGTAGCAGACATATCTGTTCTTTACTGGGATCTACTTTTTCACAGAGGTCATATTCTTCTTGAAAATTAAGTAAGCATAAATTTTTAAAAAGCGATATCAGCTAAATCAGATTAATAATTATCTCCACTACAGTATATGATTTGGTTTGAGTATATCTACACAGAATGACTCACAGTCTGTGTGTATTACTTTATAAGATTGTGGGTACATGCAGGTCCTTCATTAAATCAAAAATATGCTCATTAACCCATTAAGGACACATGACGGAAATATTCCGTCTTGATTCCCTTTTATTCCAGAAGTTGTGTCCTTAAGGGGTTAACATTTCACAGGAATGTCTGTGAAACAAAGCAATCATTTGCAGAAGAGTTGCAAAAACATTTTTTTATTAAATTATTTCCTTTTCAGTTTTGTGAAAACCAGATCATATAATCAGAATAAGTCAAAGGGTTAGTAAAGGGACTCTCCAGGCAAAAATTTGACGCACCTGGTTCCAGCGCCGGGAGCCTCGTGAAGCCGCGCCCCCTATTTCGTCAAAATGATGAAATAGGCGGACGCGAGCAATCAGACGCTTCCATTTGGGAGCATGCGCGGCACATACTTCAGAGGGCGGCATTAATGCCGCCCTCTGAATTCCTGAGCGCACTACCGCACATGCGCGCGGTGTGCCTGGCCGCGAGCTGACCTGACTGACAGCTCAGCTCGCAGTCTTTGCCCGCCCCCTCTCCTCTGCTGACAGGCAGAAGAGAGAAGGCGCGCACACAAGGCCTTTTTTAGGGCCCTGCATGATAGGAAGTCCCTCTGGTGGCTGTCTGAGTGACGGCCACTGGAGGTATTCCTATCAATCAATGTAAACTCTGAAAATACAGTGTTTACATTAGATTGCCTGCAGGGAGCTGTAGATCATACCTGAACAACTACATTAAGCTGTAGTTGTTCAGGTGACTATAGTGTCCCTTTATAGGAACTCTATAGTGTTCGGAATACAAAGATATTTTTTTAACACTATAGTGTCCTTCTGCATTACACTGCCTTACAGAAATTAAAGGGTTAAAACCCCTTTAACACCCACCTTACACCAGCACATTAGGTTTCCCCCTAACGCTGACGGAAGTGGAGATGGAGCCAGTGGCGAGTGACCCCAGTGCTGGAATAAGCAAAGTGTTTAAAGGATTAACTCTTTCATTGCCAGAAAATGGGGGAGTCTGTGGGGGGCAGTGGGACACTGTAATATAAGGAATACAGCTTTGTATCTCTAACACGATAGCTTCCGTTAATGCAGCTCCTTGCAGAAGAAGCCAAAAAAACATTTCACCAAGGAACTATTAGAGAAACAAAGATATCATCTTTAAGAAGGTGAGACATTAAACAAAGTGTGTCAATAAGTTGTCTATTAGCATTTATTTTGTGGGAACACAGAATAACTAATACAAAAAACTAATAAGCCATTCCTCCAGACTGCGCAATGTATTAGCTAATCTCATACATAAACTTAAAATGGGGGGAATTCAATCATGCACATTAATAAAAGAAAGAGTTACTCTATGGCCAAGTTCTCCCTGTAGCCAAAGTTTTGCCATCATTTATGTCATCCAGTTATGTCAAACAATTTGTAGTTAATGAAATGCTTTTTGTAGAGATGCATTATTGGGCCGAGAGTGCATGTGAGGCAGTTGCCCTCGCTCTGGGCTGGGTAGGAACACTGAGCGACGGACCGAGGAACAGAGGTAGGATGGAGGAACAGTGTCTGATTTGAAAAATAGTTCCATCTCCGGAATCTTGATCAAAAATCTCTGCATGTGCTGCGTTTCACATATAGACTCCTTGCACCATGACCACTTCAAAACACAGATGTGGTCATGGTGTTTTCACTAACCCGTTAAAAAAACCGACACCAACGATGTCTACTCTTGGCACCTTCAAATATTTATAAAGTACACTTCCCATGATGCATCTCTGTCTTTAATCGGTCACTACTAACCTATAGATTATACAAGCAAGGTTGTAATTTTTAAAAAATGAAAACAAAAAAATAAAAATCACAAGAAACTATAGCCAAACATTATCAGCAATTTTCAAGTGAAATGCACACAATAGGTATCAAACGGAATACACTGACATTAGATCTATTCATATTTACAACAGTTTTCCTTACATCTTCAGAATGTAAAATGGCATCTTCTTGCATAACCATATTTCGGGCTGCTTGGCCAAGGAGCTAAATTGCAAAGAAAAAAATGAAATATTAAAAATTAAATTAAATTTCCAATTAAATTTAAAAAAAACAATTTCTACAGTTTCAAATGTGAAGTCTGTGTACTTATGAATTTGGGCTTGGTAACTGGCAGGACAGATATTTACATAATATTGGTAAATATACACAAAACAGCAATTTGTTATTTTGGACAAAACACAAATTAAACTAAATAGTGAATTAAACTCATAGTGAAGCAGAATAATAAATTACTTGCTATGTGGTTAGATGTAGTTTAAACTACTTATTGATTAACAACCTCCACTTATACAAATGCAGGCATTAACAATCAATATAATTAAATAGAAACTATATGATAATATAACCCATAATAATGCAATATTAATATATAATAATAATATGCTTTTAAAATGAAAAAATAATGTTTTTTGCCTTTGGAAGCCCTCCCTTTATAACCTCGGTCAAACTTTCTCTGTCCAATCACAGACTTCCAATGTAGCTCAATTAAAAGACTTTGCAAGTCAAGTGCTCCGAGCAATTGCTGCCTCTTAAATTTAGCTTCACTTAGCTAAACAAACCCGGAAGTAACAGGACTGGCTGTCTGATTAACACGCAGGGGATATAACATTGTTAACGGGACACTATAGTCACCCAGACCACATCAGCTCAATGAAGTGGTCTGGGTGCCAGGTCCCCCAGGTTTTAACCCTTCAGATGTAAACATAGCAGTTTCAGAGAAATGCTTTCCTATGGACTGTTTGAACACGCGCGCGGCTCTTGACGCACATGCGCATTCCGCTCCACTCAGGAGCTGAAGTCGGCGGGGGAGGCGAGGTCACCAGCGCTGAGGGAGCCCGGCGCTGGATTAAGCACCAAGGGAGGGGGACCCTGAGGGTGGGGGGACCCTAAAGGTTGTATAGTGTCAGGAAAACGGGTTTGTTTTCCTGACACTATAGTGATCCTTTAAGGCAGCACTGTCACCGTCTGGGGACTTTGCTGAATTTGTAAAGCCCCCGATGGTGACAGTGCCACTGGGGGTCTGATGGCCAGGAGGGCAAGTAAAAGTGACATTTACTTACCGGAACCTGTCCCTTGTGGACGCTGCCATTTTCTTGGTCTGCTCCTCTTCAGCTCCTGGTGCTGATGTCATTGCTGTACTCTCGCACATGCATGAGAGTACAGCAATGATGTCTACAGCGCAAATTACCTCCAGCACTAGTGACGACTGTCGGGATTGACTCTGTAGCTCTGCCCTGAGTCTAGGAAAGTCAGGCACAGGAGAAATTCATAGACAAAAAATATGAAATACTCATTTTCGGGAGGTGGGGAAGGTGCTGATTAAATGAATTTAGGCAAGCCAAAGTGATTTATTTGTCTGGAGTGTCCCATTAATTTAAAGGGATACTATAGTGCCAGGAATGCAAAACTGTATTCCTGGCACTATCTCTCCCTCTACCTCCTCCCTACCTTGTGCCCCCCTGCCCGGGTGAATAAAGGGTTAAAAACCCTTTAATTACTCACCTTATCCCAATGCGCATGTCCCTCGACATCATGCAACAATCCAGCTCTAATGTGCATGCGCGGCAAATGCTGCACACACATTAGACCAACCCATAGAAAAGCACTGAATCAATGCTTTCCTGTAGGGAAAAAAATCTGACGCTAGAGGTCCTCCTGCAGAGCGTTAGGTCGTCCAGCGCCAGATACCAGACCAAAGATCCGCTTCAATTCGGGAAGCCCTCTAGTGGCTGTCTGGTAGGGAGCCACTGAGGGCAGACTTAGAGCTGCAATATAAACATTGCTGTTTCTATAGAAACTGCCCATTGTACAGCGCTATGAAATTTAATGGCGCTATATAAATAATAACTGCAATTTTTTGCATTGCAGCACTACCTGTGATAAGGACACACTGCTCCCAGACCACCTCAATGAGCTGAAGTGGTCTAGGTGGCTACAGTGTCCCTTTAATTATTGCAGCATTTCAGTGCTACATAGTACAGGGCAACACTTTTCATTTGCTGCCCATCTGGAACCCAGCCTGTAGATTTCCAGGAAGCCTGTGGTATGTGGGCACCCTGACCACACACCGTGTAATTACAGCCTTACAGAAATGATCAGTTTGGGGCTAACAGGCACTCTAAAAAAATCTCTTTTACAAGCTATCAGCAACAGGGAAACTCTGAATCTGCTTATTTTACAACAAAGACACTTTTCAAGTTTTATTTAAAGCTGTTTTTGTTACTGAGTACTGAAGATGAAAATTAAACACATTTTAGGAATCATTTTCCTTCTGTAAGGACTAGCAGCAATACAGATAGATTTATATGGACTACGTTTCCCGTGATGCTCAGTCAGATGAGCGGATGACAGAGCATCACGGGAAACGTAGTTCGTCGCTGTATAAGGCGCATAACCAGGACTAGCCCCGCCCACCGGCCGAGATGCAGTGTGATGGCCGCCGCTCGCCCTTACCTCCGAGCTGCGCGAGCCTTTCAGCACCTGCTTGGTGAGCGCGATGACGTCCGCGCCGCACGTACCGACCTTCTCGGTGAGCAAACCCTTCACGGAGTGCCCGTACCGAGCTTGCCCGTCCGCGGACGCAGCCATCTTGGCTACCGCTTCTTTCTCCATCAAGCTACAACTACGGGTCAGCCTGCAGTCCAAAAAGCGTAACTTAGCGATCGGTGAGGAGGATGCTACCAGGGGTAGTCATGGAAACCTGTGTTAAAGGGACAGTGTGTCTCCTTTTGTTTTTCTTTCACAGGGTTATTCACTAAAGTGTGAATTGTCAAGAATTAAAATTTTAGGCCAAAATAGTCAAAAATTTAAAATTCTTCAAGTCCACTTTGGCCTAAATTTAAAGTTCAATTGGAGTCAACAATAATTTACACTTTGGTGATAAAACCAATTAATTTTTTTCTATGAATTATTATAACAAATCTCCTAACATTGTATAAGCATTGAATGGCTGTGTTCTGCCATTTTCACGGACCCCTAAGATTCTTGCACAATCCAGCTGTTTTACAGCAATTACATGTACTGCGCATGCGCGCGAGCACACACACACCTCCCTAGCTGCTCAATTGAGATACACAAACTTAAACTTTATATTGATTCCAATTTAAAGTTTAGGTTTTGATTTCTGAGTTGAGCTGATAGAAAGGTGTGTGTGCGTGCATGCGCAGTACATGTAATTGCTGTAAAACAGCTGATTCTGCACCATCAGAAGTGACGCAGTCCAGACTTCTGATGGGTCCAGGAAAATTACAGCACACCGGCCTGACTAGAACTGCCTTCCCTGCCACATTCAGGGCTGCAATGTGGAGATTTATGGTGAAGTATTTTGCATGGGCTGTATACCCTGAGTGCGCTTCACGCCGTGCAAGCACTAATGGGGATCTATCTGTCTGAGCGGGGACCCACCATAGGGCAGGCTAATTGAGCTGTTGTCCGTTCTCACATCTCTTGCAACTTGTTTTTCTCTCCTTAAGTTTAAAGGGCAATCTAGACGTGGACCACTTGCTCACGGTGCCTAGAGGGATGTTGGCTATACCTCACTGATAATACCTTACATGGTTGAAACGATCGTCTGGGGTTGTTGTATCTCTCGTGCAGAGGGAACTTGCTGGCATTTCGGATCTGTACTGCCTGTAAGCGTGGAACCACTCTGATGTGCTTCAGATATGTTCTGTCTGGGATATGTTCCCCTGAAATGGCACTAGATGAGCTAAAACCAGCTTGAGATCTGAGTGGGGACCCACCGAAGGGCTAATTGAGACGTTGTCCGTTCTCATCTCTCTTGATACTTGTTTTTCTCTCTAGGGGATCTAACCTGCTGTGGCAGAACAGGAGCCCAAGTTTGAGAGACGTGTTATAATGTGATAATATTTCCCATTTTGATATGGAACCTGTAGGGTCGCACTTGTTTGATTTTCTTTAGAGTATAGAATCAATGGTAGGTGATTGGCACCATGACCGGTCTAATGCCAACAAACCAGCCATCCCCAGGCATTACACATACGCAGTGCTTCAAAAATATGTGCACAGTGATGTTTTATTCACTGTACCTTCGTTTAAACATTTTAGGCATTTTTTGACAGAGGTATCTAGGTTTATAGTTAATAAATATAAAATCCCCTTGAAAGTATGCAGTATTTAAATAATGTTGCCTGAGAGGATTTAATCTTTAACGTACACATAATGCTGAATAAACATCAGTGAATTAATAACATCTAGGTTCCCATAGGAATCTGCAGCGATTAGAATAATCACTGATTTGGCAGTTTGTGAATTCTAAATCCTGCTGGGCATCACACATTGTATACCTCCTAGCTGTATGTGTACCACATTGTAGATTTTATGAGGTATGCAAATGTTAAAATTAGGGATGCACCGAAATGAAAATTCTGTGCCGAAACCGAAAATTCAGGATGCCCTTGGCCGAAAACCGAAATCGAAAATCCCCAAATGATTTTAAAAAGTTTTTTTCCTAAAATATTATTAATATTAGACTTTTTAATGAATTTAATTAATCTAATATGAAAAACTTCCCTTCTCCCTTCTCTTTTAGTCGTCCCCCACTTAATGTCCATAGTGTTCTTCTCCCCTCCCCTGTCCCATAGTGTCTCCTCCCCTCCCCTGTCCCATAGTGTTCTTTCCCTCCCCTGTCCTATAGTGCACTTTCCCCCTCCCTGTCCCATAGTGCTCTTTCCTCCCCTGTCCCATAGTTCTCTTTCCCCCCTCCCCTGTCCCATAGTGCTCTCTCCCCTGTCCCATAGTGCTCTTTCCCCTCTCCCCTGTCCCATAGTGTTCTTTCCCCTCTTCCCCTGTCCCATAGTTCTCTTTCCCCCCTCCCCTGTCCCATAGTGCTCTCTCCCCTGTCCCATAGTGCTCTTTCCCCTCTCCCCTGTCCCATAGTGTTCTTTCCCCTCTTCCCTGTCCCATAGTGTTTTCCCCCCACCCCTGTCCCAAGTGCAGTATTCTTGACTTTTTAGGTTATCATTACTAGCTTTCATTGTAATATATAATCATCTGAATTGTTAATTTGTTTAAAAAAAATTATTTTGTAAATTTGACCTGTTTTCGGCCGAAACTGGATAGGCCCATTTTCGTCCGCCGAAATTTCGGTGCATCCCTAGTTAAAATAAAAAAAATAAAAAAAATTATATATATATATGCTTAAATCAGTTCTGTAAAGTGTAAACAAGTCTATGGTGTCTTTTATCCAATGGAGTCCTGCATAATGCATTTTTTTTATTCGCATCCTTGACAAAACAATATATTTGGTCACATATAATTATGCGAGAGGTGATTTAATTGGAAAGTATGCAGCCAGTTCTATCGCTCGACACAACTAGGCGAAGTAATAAAGTCAAATGGAAGGAGGTGGGGAGATGGAACTACAGAGTGTGAGGAATAAGGGAAACAAAACCTTTACATTACAAAAACTGTACAGGCCCTCCCCTCCCGACCTGCATATTTTGGTGTACTGCACGATGTCAAATATTTTGCATTATTACGCCCGATGTTTCACTCTGTCATATAACAAAAAAGATTTACCCCCCCCCAAAAAAAAAAAGCAATGAAACTCACGTGGTAACACGGACGAGAACCCCGGCACAATGTGATTAATATCCTCAAATTGGTGGTATGTCGGAGACTTGCGCGTCTCAACTTGTAAAGCTTTTTAAAGTATGTACTGCTTGTTTGAACTACTTATCAATAAAAACAGATTTAACAAAAAAAGAAAGTATGCAGCCAGGTCAAGCCTTTGAGAGTGCACAGGGTTTTCAATTGTCGAAAAAAACAACAATATATTCACCATTTGGCGGATTAGACCTGGGCCTTTTGTGTTAGATTAAAAGGACATTCTAGGCACTATAACCATTTCAGCTATACCAGATTATCAGATTTATTTTTGTTTATCTCAAATTTTTTAACAAAAGAATTACATTGACAATGTTATACTTTTGTTGCAGAATACAGAGAATGAAATGTTGAACTTTTTTGATTAACTGAGTTCATGCAAACTGTCATAAAACTCCCTTCAGATGTACAAATAACACATGGATGAAGGTAGACGGAGGTAAGTTTGAAATGACTGCAGGCCAAAAGACAACGGGTAAAAAGCATTATATTACCTGGTATAATGAAACTACTAACTAGCCTTACCTTCATAAAAAGGATCCCTTTCAGTCGTAATTGGCCATCTCCTTACAGAGTGTTGTGTGTGTTCCTTTAAGTTTTGAAAGGACACCCAATTTATCATCACAAACTCTAAGGTATTATGCAAAGAGCTCCTCTGTACGTTTGACTATAGAAGACCACTGCAGGTTCAAGGCCACATTCACTACAATACATCACTAGGGAGCTATGCGTCAGGTAACTGCTAGTGTATAGTGTTTGTACATACAGAATATGCAGACTAGTGCCCATTTGTTTCCCACATCACTGAAGGTCCTCTTTCCAGTAGGGCATTACTCTCATGTACTTATTCCTTGATTGATTGGTTTGTGTACCCACTATAAAGCTCTTCAGTAAATGTTGGCACTCCGTAAATATTAAAGAGCATATTGCCCTCCCTTTTTTCTTTAATATCTTTGTCTGGGTATTTTTGTTTCCTATTAATCACTTCTTACAACTGCATTTCAGTGATAGCACTCACAATTTTTATTATTGTGAAAAATAATAATACCTTAGAGAGGGTTCAGAGAAGGGCTACTAAACTGGTTCATGGATTGCAGGATAAAACTTACCAGGAAAGGTTAAAGGATCTTAACATGTATAGCTTGGAGGAAAGACTAGACAGGGGGGATATGAACATTTAAATACATAAAGGGAATCAACACAGTAAAGGAGGAGACTATATTTAAAAGAAGAAAAACTACCACAACAAGAGGACATAGTCTTAAATTAGAGGGACAAAGGTTTAAAAATAATATCAGGAAGTATTACTTCACTGAGAGGGTAGTGGATGCATGGAATAGCCTTCCAGCTGAAGTGGTAGAGGTTAACACAGTAAAGAAGTTTAAGCATGCGTGGGATAGGCATAAGACTATCCTAACTATAAGATAAGGCCAGGGACTAATGAAAATATTTAGAAAATTGGGCAGACTAGATGGGCTTATCTGCCGTCACATTCTATTCTAATAAATGTAGTAATTTCTTAGGCTTACAAAGGAGTGATCACTCACATGTGAGTTTTTTTTTGTGCAGTCACTTTGATATCATGAATCCATATGAGCATGTAATTACATAGCCTGTGCCTCCATTCACATCGAGCTGCATCTTAAAAGACTAGAACATATGTGCATGCGCATTCTATGCATATACAGTGACAAAGCGCAGCTGCAGTACAGTAGCTCTTAAGACCCTTGCACTTAGTTTAAAATTTAAAGGGAAACGTTTAAGAGCTTTCAGAATAAGATGTGCAATTTATTTTAGATTCTCATAATTGCATACTGATCGCTAGGAAGCCCTAGTAATAAACGTAGAACTGAAGTTTCCCCATAAAAGTAATCAATCAGGATCCTCATCATTCTCTATTATCCAGAAGGCTATGGCTTCACCCTGCGGCAGAAACTTTAAATACTCCACACATATTTTATTTTGTATGTCCCCACTCATTCGTTCAAGTGAATGAAGAGGGAGATATTTGGATTTCTAGTGGTTAATGCAGGATCTTGGCATTACCAACATAGGCTGTATTTCAATTTCCTTGTGGAATTCTGTATATGGGTTGCATTTGTGCCAGTTGTCTATGTTTACTAGATCTAGCTAATAATTTCTGGAAATAATAATAACTCAAGGTTGCAATCGTCATTGTGAGGCTGAACACCAGCCAAAATAACCATCTAAAGCTCTTACATCTCTCATGGACCATTCACCTTACAGTCCATAAAAATAATAATACAAAACTTTCAGATCAAGGATTAACACTTACATAAAAGTAATCATAATGCAAATACGATCAATAATTGTAAATGGTGTTATGCAGGATGGGTTTGTTTAACCCCTTAAGGACACATGACATGTTTGGTCCTTAAGGGGTTAAGCACAGCAAATCATCAGTCATCATTCCCTTTTATTTCTGAAGTTGTATGCTGAAGGGTTAATAAAATATGTTATAGAATAAAAGATACATTCATTCATTTATTTTTTTTCCGATTATATAAGTAGACGTCATGAAATTCTATTCATAATTGAATACTGGTTTCTTGACCACACAAGGGTTAACAGTTTTTATTCAGTTGGTCCCCTCTGATTGGCTGCTAGTTTGGACTCTGCATTATTTATTTGGAATGTAAACTGAGATTACCATTTCAAGGTAAGGAAGCTACCAGTATGCTTGTCTTGCTAGTTTCTGGACTGATTCTAGCGCTGGGGCTAATTATTACTTCTTTTTGGTGGTTGACAAGGAAAAACCACAAGGATGTAAAGTATCCAAAGAGCTTACCATCATTACCTTTGATTGGGAGTTTACTTCACCTTGGTCATCACGTTCTTCCACACATCCATTTCTGCAATTTACAGAAAAAGTATGGGAGTCTCTACTCATTTAATATGGGCTCCCATTACGTTGTCATTGTCAACAACCACCAGCATGCCAAGGAGGTCTTGTTAAAGAAAGGGAAAACGTTTGCTGGGAGGCCACGCACAGTAAGTTGGAGAAATATCTTTCTATATAAATGCAGCAGATCTTGCTTGTTAAATCTGAGAGTGTATTCACTAGATCAGAATAATAGCGGAATTGTAGAATATTCCACATTTTAGCCATAAATTCAAATGTAGGGAATAAATCCCCTGATGTTTATTTAATAAATAGTGTAGTAATATTTTTTTTTTAAATTAAAGAAGAATGGTTATGCTATTTGATTATTGAAACAAACTGCACAAAAAAATGCAAGAACAGTTTTGAAACTTTGGGTGGGGTCTTTGCAATTGTTTCAAAGACCCCCAGAAGGTCACATCCCCACTCTTTGTTCGGCAGACCACAGGTGAAGCTGAAGGTTGTTATACTGATCTGAAGCTCTCCTCCATGGGTACCTCCAACTTGTATCTCCAGCTCTTGGCTCTTCAGCTACCAGGAGCTGTTTAACTGTTGCAGTCGTGTGCATGCGCATGAGTACAAAACAGAGATATATAAAGGATCCCGCAAGATCTGTCTTAGAGAATAGATGCATGAGAAGATCCCCCTTTTCCATAGGCGTCTCTGGTGACAGATGTGGCAATCAACAGGTGAGGGCAAAGCTCCTCCTTTCGCCAGCGTAGGCTTTCCACATAACACAAAGTCTCTAATTTGTCTCATGATATCGCTTGGTTAAATTTCAATAAAATTCCAACGCAAAGAACATTAATATTTCATGAAGATTTTGTCTCAATGAAATACTCAAATAGTGGCATGAAGTGACAGCAGTTTCTTGTGTGGGAAAACAAATCTGGAGTTTGTGTTAAGAGCTAAGTTAGACTTAAAGGATCACTATAGTGCCAGGAAAACAAACTCATTTTTCTGGGTCTATACGGTCTTTGGGCCCCCCCACCCTCTGGGTCCCACTCCCGCCGGGCTGAAGGGGGAAGAAGGTGTTAAATTCTTACCTTTCTCCAGCGCCGGGCGCGTATTTAATCAGTCCATAGGAAAGCATTTTTCAATGCTTTCCTATGGATGTTGGCTTCTTCTCACTGTGAAAATCATTGAGACAGCCACTAGAGGCTGGATTAACCCTAATGTAAATATAGCAGTTTCTCTGAAACTGCTATGTTTACAGTTGCAGGGTTAACCCTAGATGGACCTGGCACCCAGACCACTTTATTGAGCTGATGTGGTCTGGGTGCCTATAGTGGTCCTTTAATGAATCAGTATTTTTATGAAATGTGTTAAATCATAAACCTGTTATCTGAAGAATGTACTAATTGGCAATTGATACAAAGGGTGTATCCTTAGAGAGAAACTGGCATACACATATTATTTAAATAAAATAATGCATAGATTTCAGTCTCTCTGTGCATTATTTTGTAGTGCATTTTATACAGTAGTTTGCAGTGTATAAATGCATTGTTTCATTGAGAATCTTGGTTTATCCTTACTCCACAAGATCTACTTAAAGGACCTCTCTAGGCACCCAGACCACTTCAGCTTAATGAAGTGGTCTGGGTGCCAGGTCCAGCTAGGCTTAACCCATTTTTTAATAAACATAGCAGTTTCAGAGAAACTGTTATGTTTATCAATGGGTTAAGCCTTCCCCCATTCCCTCTAGTGGCTGTCTCATTGATAATGCTTTCCTATGTGACCGGCTGAATGCGCGCGCAGCTCTTGCCGCGCGTGCGCATTCAGCCGACGGGGAGGAGAAGAGGAGGATCGGAGGAGGAGAGCTCTCCGCCCAGCGCTGGAAAAAGGTAAGTTTTTACCCCTTTCCTCTCCCCAGAGCCGGGCGGGAGGGGGACCCTGAGGGTGGGGGCACCCTCAGGGCACTATAGTGCCAGGAAAACGAGTATGTTTTCCTGGCACTATAGTGGTCCTTTAATGTAAGTGACTTTTGATCCAAACCACCATTTTTCCCAATGTAAAGCTGTGCAGAAAATTCAGAGATAGTGTATGTTCACTAATGCTGATGTCATGCACAAGTCCTGAGCAGCTCAAAACCAGATGCAGAGCCATTTTCAGCATTTAGCGTAGCTCTCTTTTTGCATGCAATGGAGAAATTTAAAACTACTATTTGCGTTGGGCTGAATATGTGGGATGCTCCTTGATATCACCTCCTCTAGACTGTAAGCTCGTTTGAGCAGGACGCCAGAGAAAGATGGCTGCGCCACTAGAGGACATGTTCAAGTAATTAGAACTCACTTTACCTGCCCCCACCCTCTAGACCCATCAGGGGTCTTTGTGAATTCTGCAACGTCCCCAGATGGTGATAATGTCATTTTAAAAACATGAAAATTACTGTGGCTTCCTGCAGATCACTATGATTCATCTTCAGCTGGTTTCTACAAGAAAGATAATTGCGATGTAGCTCTATCTCCAAAGGACAGTCTTTAAATTCAGGCTTTAAAATAATAAAAATGATCACAGAAAAAGCTGTTTTAATTACACAGGCATAGTCAAGAGATGAAAGAAAGTATAAACAATATCAAGAGTAGGAGGAATATACTAAAATTATTGCAACCCCATCATGGGAACTCACTCTATTTAAGAGTTTCAATACTTGTAAAATTTGTTCAGGCACGTGGATCGTATGGAATTTGAGCTTGGATACAGGATGGACCATCTCAATAAAATGCATTACCAGGGCTATTCACAATTTTGCTCATATTTTTGGTAGCCAATGAATGTTGTGTTACGTGATCATTACAAGATTTTGTGGACAGCTGTCAGTATAGTTCCTTTTTCTTTTTAATAAAAATAATTGTTTTTAAAAAAAAACATTCAATGAAAAACATAATGAAAGTTGAGCAACACCCAAATGACACCTATATTTATTATGTTTTAAAGGTAACAACTAATATTTTATCAAGGAATGGAAAAGACATTGCCTTTGCAGACTACAGCCCAAGCTGGAAATTTCACCGCAAGATAGTACATTCAGCTGTCAACATGTTCGGAGAAGGGACCATCGCCATCGAGGAAATCAGTAAGCCCATATGTCCTACTTCTCTCAAAGCATTGCAGCTAAATATATTGAGGTTAAGCTCATATCAGGGCAGTACCATCTGATATTCTACCCTGTCCATTTACACCATGAGAGATTCCCTGTAGGTCCCACTCATGAATATTCTCTATAGTACTGAATTTCTTGCCTACTTTTCCATTGTCCTTTCTCGCACCCAACACTGGACAGACTGAGAGATAGTTAGATTGTCACCATCCTCCATCCTTTATCTTCTCGATGGTGCGCTGGTTCCTAATAACTTTTAGATTTCTCTTCACCAATTTATTAGATTTTTTTTTTTTTTGATGATTTTTAATTATTTAAAAATAACATCACGAGTTCTTTTTTTTTCTCCAGTCATTTGCCCATGTGATAGTTGACTGTGAAATTCAGTACTCTTATCTATGCTTGAGTTTCTGAAGTCACATATACCAATAATTAAATGACCATGTTTTAGTTACACTAACCAACCACCCTTCTCACATTCTACATCGTGATCAGCCCAGACATGTATTTAAACTCATAATTTGTAGAGTAGGTTACATTATTAACCCTGTTGGTGGAAAAAGGGAACAGGGCCATCTTCTGGGGTTAATGGGAAGTACAGTGGGGTGAACATTAGTTACGGATTTAACCCCATCATCACCAATTATATTACATCATGTCTCCACGATATGATCCACACAAGCACGGAATGTCTCTCTTAAAAAACAAAAATCCAGTTCAATATAGCCCTGCTGTCATTAAATAGACAGGACATCCCACGTTCTGAAATATCTTCAAAAGGCACCCATACTTGACTGGTTCACGTAAGGAGAGCTAAGTATAAAATCCACTTACATCTGCAGCAGATCCAGGTATTGACATCTTCCCACGATGCTGTGTGCATGCTCATGCGCACTCATGCATCAGTTTAGAAAGTGTTCCATGAATCTATGTGTGCACAGACATTTCTACCAAAGTACTGCACATGCTAGTGGTCACGTTCATGTCAGTTATGCTCTTGGTTTATCATGGTACCCTGGCCTATCTAGTAAATAAAAAATAAATAAAACCAGGTAACTTGTAAGTGGTAAGAAGTATCATATTTAAATTCCCTCAAAGTAATAAAAGATATAGATATATTGCTGGTGTCATGGTAAATGTCCCTTCCAGATATTAGAGCTCTGGTGGTGGTTATAGTGGAAGTAAATATCAGCATGCTTCTCTAGCGACATCTAGTGGCATTTATTGAAACTTCTATGTAGTGTGTAAACAATGTGAAGTGAATTTGCCTTGCTTGTATCAAACAAAAAGAAAAGGTATTAATTTGGGTAATCATTGGTTCATAATCCTTGCACACTCACCTTCCACCAGTCCAAGACGATCTTATTGTGGAACCCACATTATGGTTCTGGAATTTCTTATCCTTATTTTTGGTTCTTTGGTAAGATTTCTGGAAGATGGCTGTAATGTCAAGCTCGCACAGTGTATTATAGAAGTATCGCTCCCCTGCGAAAAAGAAATAAAAGCATTTAGAATTTCCACCAATTGGTGTCAGTGTAGCACATCTTGGGTGTATTTATCCCAAATTTAAGTAAAGAATTGCAATATGGTCACAGCTGATTGTATTTACCAAAATACATGCCAGTTTCTCTATTAAACTGGAAAGGCAATAAATAAATAAATACATTCCGTTGTTCTAGCGCATTTAATTATTATTTAGTACATTGTAAGCAGATTTTATTCTATTAATTCTACATACTACAAAAGTCATTCGTATTGAGGAAGTACAAAGCACCCACAATAAAATATATGGGTGAAATATCTGTATGAAGTTTACTAATATCTCACAAGTTGGCTCATTATGTTAAATAGAAAAAAGTAATAATTATTAACAGTTGCATTTCTCCCTTCATTTTATTAGTTACATATCTTACTTTTACACTCAGGACTAATTATATAATAATATATTGAGTATATCACCACAGAGAGTGATAGGAATGAAAACCTTCTGTCCGAGAATAGCATGAAAATGTCATGACTGAGCAAATTACATAGTTACATAGCTTGCGTCCATCAAGTTCAGCCTTCCTCACATTTGTTTTTTGCTGTTGATCCAAAAGAAGGCTCTCCTCAATGCAATGGATATTCCATTAGACAAACATCTCTAATCTCAGTGTTTTAAGTAATTAGTACAAGGCTTAAAATAGTATGCTATTAGCCAAGGCTTCAAAGTCACAAACCACTGCAAGCCTAGGGTCCGTGGCACACTCTCAGGTGGTCAATTTCTACGCCGATGGGCTAGATTTTTACTCGTCTAGTGATGTAGTTACAAAAGTAAATACATATTGGAATACATTGGAAGAATTAGTTTCTAGACTATTTTTACAGTTGAATGATAGGTCACCAAGCTTATGTCAGGTACATCATTTTTAGGAAAATGTCAAATAATCCAAGGAAAACTGTGTTTTAGTGGTCAATGCAAATCTCCAACTCATGAGACATATTCAAAGGGAAACTATTGTGCCATGAAAACAAATGTGTTTTCCTGTACAAAACTGCATCAGATATTTTGAAGCATATGGTCCTGTTTACTACATACGCTAGAAAATTGTATTAGTTAACCATAATGCATGGTTTGTCATAATCATAGAAATAGCAATACATACAACACTAATTAAAAGACAATAAGAAGAGGATGGGGGACAAAACAAATGACAAATGGGAAAACTAGTCTTTATAAATTGAGTTTATGTATAGCAAAGCTGTGTTTAGATCACTGCTACTCCTAAAAAGAAAAAAAAATCCTGAGTTTGTAATCACCCTCAATTTTATAAAATATACTAATCAAAAAAGTTATGTTGATGTGCCACTGGTGAAAATGGGCCTTGCACAGAAACAGCCAGGCAGTGACCAAAATTGAGTGAACTATACCTAAATTTGGGTAGCATTTCAACAGTAGTTGAATTTTGTCTTAAAGGGATAAATATACTGCCAAGCACCACCATTTTGCTATGTTGAGCAGCTTTATAACTCATTACTCCCCATCTGCTGGTACGTTGCATGTCTGTGAATAAACCACGTGGATGCTATTTACCAAGAATCACAACATATTGTATTCGTTACCCTTTGTGTTTTACAGTTTCTCGTGAGGCTTCGTCACTGTGCCAAACGCTCATCAGTTTTCAGAGCAATCCATTGGACATGGCACCAGAACTAACCCGGGCTGTAACCAACGTGGTTTGCGCACTATGTTTCAATACCAGATACAACAGAGGAGACACAGAGTTTCAGCAAATGTTGAGTTATAATAAAGGCATAGTGGACACAGTTGCCAAAGATAGCTTAGTGGATATCTTTCCGTGGCTACAGGTAGGGGAAAAGGCTATCAAATGTAGTTAATTTATCACGTCAAATTGCACTATTTGCTGAGAGAGAGACACTAAGTGACTTGCTTATTGTTATTTCTATTCTTTATTTTAAACCCAGATATTTCCAAACAAAGATCTGAGTTTATTGAAGAACTCTGTGGCAAAGCGAGATAAGCTTCTGGAAAAGAAATTGAAGGAACATGAAGTAAGTATTTGAATTGAAGGTATTCGACTAATAAATGCACATGTATTGTCTAGAATAGTTAACCCATTAACACATTTAAAGGGACACTATAGTCACCAGAACAACTACAGCTTATTGCATTTGTTCTGGTGAGTAGAATCATTCCCTTTAGGCCTTTTGCAGTAAACACTGTCTTTTCAGAGAAAATGCAGTGTTTACATTACAGCCCAGGGATAACTCCACTGGCCACTCCTCAGATGGCGGCTAGAGATGCTTCCTGGGGTAGAACTGCACACTGTGCAGTACTGCCACTCATTGTCTCCTCCCTCTGCATGCAGACACTGAACTTTCCTCATAGAAATTCATTGATTCAATTCATCTCTATGAGGAGATGCTGATTGGCCAGGGCTGTGTTTGATTTATGCTGTCTCTGCCCCTGATCTGCCCCTTGACAGTCTCAGCCAATCCTATGGGGAAGCACTGTGATTGGCTCAGACCACCACTTCTGATGATGTCAGAGGTCAGATGCAGTTCAAAGGAGAGGCAGCAGCTCCAGACTTGAATACAAGTAAGATTTTCTATATTTAGGAAGGCAAGGGGGCCAGTGTGCTAGATTGTGGTTTTAACACTATAGGGCAGGAATACATGTTTGTGTTCCTGACCCTATAGTGTTCCTTTAAGCAATAATAGCACTGTTTTGATTCCAATTATGGATCTTTGAATTCCATCCCCTTCCTCAACCACAAATCGCAAGGAATTGTTACAGATGTGTGAACTGTTAGCGGGTTGTGCTGCACACTTAGCTCTTTCACCAGTTAAACCCAAATCACACAGGAAGCAGAATATTTGGATTTTGTGTTTCTGGTATGACTGATGTCGCAAGAGACCAGTTAGAGATTTGTGTGCAGTGTGACCTGGTACTTGAATGACTCTTCTGTTCATGCCTAGCTGCGATCTGGGCATCCCAAAATTTCACGGTGGAGGTGGGACTCTGCAAGATTATTTTGCCCCAGGCAGCACAAATCCAGTAGGTGACCCTAGTTTAAGTTGCAAAATGTAAGAATAAAAAATAAAAAACAATAACTTATTATTATTATTATTATGTTATTTATATAGCGCCATCAAATTCCGCAGCTCTTTACAATGGGTGCACGAACAGAGATGTAGTTGTAACCAGACAAGTTGGACACACAGAAACAGAGTGGTTGAGGGCCCTGCTCAATGAACTTACATGCTAGAGGGAGTGGGGTAAAATGACACAAAAAGGTAAGGATAGTATTAGACTAGTGACAGTTGCAGAAGAGGAATCAGTCGGGAGCTTACAAATGTTATAACTTGATAGAAAAGCAGGAGGATTCGACATCCCTGCAGACCTACATTTTTTAATTTCATGCGTAAACAAGAGAAAACCAGTGGAGAAACTCCTGGCTGATCAAGATCAAGCTGAAGTGGACGATGGGTATACCAAGGAGAGAGTCAGTAAACTTACCTACCCTCATCCCATGGATACCCCATCCAAAGAGACATCATCTCGAGTCTTATAAAAATGCAAAGAATAATGAACATGTACCAGTGACCCCATAACTGGTCACCCTACTGTGTAACCTGTGTTTCATGGTATTCAACTATTTATTATATGAAATTATCCATATTTAGAAGGGAATATAGATCTCTAACTGTGACACATGTTGGCCTGAGAATGTTTTAATATTGATTCTAGATTCTGTATCACCCTGACCTGTCACATTTTATGCACAGGAGGCATTTTGTAGCGAGGCAATAAAAGACTTGACAGATGCTCTTCTGAAAGCAAAGCTTAGCGTGGAAAACAACAATGGCAATATTTCCCAGGATGTGGGGCTCACCAAGGATCACCTGCTTATGACGGTCGGGGATATATTTGGAGCAGGAGTGGAAACCACTTCAACTGTATTGAAGTGGGCAGTGGCTTATTTATTACACTATCCAGAGGTAAGTTATTCAGTTATTCTGTATCACGGCACATGTGGGTGAATAATGGAGAAATGGCAGTGATGGATATTTCTTGCTGCCTTCGGTTGAGATATGTAATGATGACAATGGTAGCAGTTAGAACATCGCACATTGAATGGGTTGTGAAAAAACAAACAAACATTAGGACCAGGGCAATGGGAAAAAAGGTTTAATTAATGGTCGTACATCGTGTGTGTGTTTTATTTATATTTATATATATATATATATATATATATATATATCACACAGTTTTTCTAGGGGTGTATACAGCTTACGGCAATATCAACCAATCACGGGATTCTCAGTGCAAAAAGTATAATTTTTCATATAACATTACGTATTGCTGTTAGTCTTCTGTTAACCGATGCACATGACAGTCTTTGAATTAGGAACCCAATTAAAATTTACAGGTGCTTAGAAAGAATGTTTTTTTTTTTTTTTAAGTGCAGGATGTTTAGCTGGATGTGAAAAGTGGTGTCAGGCACACATGAGAAAAATATTGCATGTTTAAAAAATGCGAGTTTAACCCTTTCACAGCATTAGTATATTGTATTAGAGTCAGGCCTACTGACCATCCCATCTTTCAAGCTATGTATACAGTAATACTTTAGCTACGTAATAAGAAATACAGAAATAGAAAGCAGGACATGAGACTGACACCCTGTAACATTATATATAGCTCTGCATGTCTAGGGGAATATTCACTAAGCATTGCATAGGTAAAACAATTTATTTTCCATCACTCTCCCTTCCTATAGATGTCCTACATTTTTTGCATATGTTTAATAAATGCAGGTTTCATACCTGGCAGTATAACACTCCATCTGAACATGTTGCTCTTTTTTTTTTGTTTGTTTGTCTTTTTTTCAAATATTTTTATTGTTTTCAAATAAAAAAAATACAAAACAACATATAAATTGATAAGATCTCTTAAACACTGTGTAAGCTGACAAAACAGATTATCCAATATTTTGAGTCTCTCATTTTCAATTTCTCCTCTTAAACAGTCAAGGTCTGACCAACTGAGACACTAAAACACTAAAATAGCCAATGTAATGCAATCCAATATAATAAATATATATATATATATTGGAAGGCGGGGCCTGAAATTGTGGGAGGGGTTACCCGGCTATTTAAACTCAGGCCCTCTACACCACAGGGCTGATGCTGCCGGTTCATTTCTACTTCCGGTTCAAAGGTCCTCGACGCAGACTGCCTAAAACTCCAAACCAGCTGGTCTGGGCCTACTGTGGCTCCCATGCTGATCGGACCAAGTTCTCTCTGCTCCAACAACTCCCATCATGCTGTTCCAGCCACATGCGGTCAGAGACTACTCACCTCCTCTCCAGAATTGTCCGTTCGTTCCCGCCGGCACTATGAGACCCCTTCCCGGGCCTTTTCCTGGACCAAACCTCCGTGTCCGCCGACGCTGGGTACTTTCCAGCCGCATAGCTGACCTTTCACTTCAACGCAGCTTCTGGGTCAATTCGTTTGCTTCCTGTATCTGTCAAATCCACGAACCGTGAGTCTGTCCGAACGGGCTAAATCCATGTACAAACACTATTGTTCGCACGTTTACATCCTTACATACCGTCCATTCGGGACTTTTTCCCCGTTTAGGACTTAAGTCAGTTTGTCTACTCCTGCCTGCTCTTTGTTCCATTCCCATTTCGTTAGTTTCCTTTTGTCAAATTTCTACCGAACTAGTCTCCAATCTATCTTAGTTACATGCTGCCATTTAGCGGCCACTACAATCATAGTACCCATTCGTTAGTTTTACACTGTTCCCTGATACATGTAATGTCCAGGTTCTTTTGAAATGTATTTAGCCTGCTACTAATTGTCCTTACATGCTCCCTGTAGTTTGGTTATGTTTGCTATGTTTCTTGTTATTATTTACGATTGTGCACGGATATTGTCAGTTTCCCATTACTAGTTCAGCTCGGGTACGCATTTAATATTCACTACATATATATCATTTCCATCATATATTGCAATGTCTTATTCTATCGCTTATGGACTTGGTACTGTTGTGAGGCAGTCATCACATTCACATTTGTTACCATGTGTTATGGCCAAACTGTATACTTGCTCCCATGATAGGTATTTTACTTATTTGGAGCACAACCACCTATTCGCTAAACCTTTTTAGTAACACAACACACTCCTATGTTCAGTATATGTATCGGCATGTCTCCTGGTACAAACCCTAGTGTACCAGGCATTACCATACCATCATACGATCCCCTTGGCATTATTGGTTAAACACTCCCCCACGGTCTCTGGTAGTGGCTTAGGATCCTGACCCTACTCACTTATAGGGATATTTTATTTATGTCCTGTGAATCTTGTACCCACCATGGTAGGGTCAGGATTCTAATGACTGTGTCCTCAGGTTACCTACTCATAGCCCAGCCTCAAGAACAACCACCCCAATGATACAAGTGTATTTTCATTCATTGCAAGTCAAGCCCCATTCCAGTTCCAACTGGCCTCCCACCATAATTTTCCCTTTAGGTTCTCCAGTATCTCATTCCTCTGGCAAGGAAACCTCATTCTACCCCAAGCAAGGTACATTTACCCACCTCGCTATTACCCAACACCCGTCCCATTCACGGACCAGGTATGTCAACTGGCGGTCTGGTTCCCAGCTAAGCCACTAACTAGCCTCATCATTATCAATTCCGTGAGGCCAACACCCATCTTCATCCGCATATGTAGATATACGCCCCTCGGCCCAACGAATTGCTAACGGTTACCAGTAAGGGCCTCACCCAGCACGGCCTCTTATACTGACTCTTTTTTACAGTCCCGAGAGGCCAACGTTCCCGCCACATCTTTCAGTGGCCCCTGCCCACTACGCCAAATCATAGGTAGAGCCTCTCTCAGCCACTTGGCATTAAGGGCCTCACCCTCCTGGTAGTTGAGATAAATTCTTCGCCTTTAGCTAGAGCCAGTTGACACAGAATCACGCTATTATTTGTTGTGCTCACCCGACTCCTATTTGGGTCTCAGCGTGTCTCTAATCCCAGAACAAGACAGGGACCTCACTGCCCCGTACCCCAACCTGACTTCCCACCCCGGCTGGGCCTAGCACCCCTGCAGACTATCTGGAGCCTACTAAGCCTGGTTCCCCACATTCCTGTACCATCCTAAAATTAACAAGCTGTACTACGGCATTTAGGGATTCCATTCCCGGCCACAGCTCGCAAACCAAACTATATAAACTTCTGCTCAAATTACCGGTACACCTCAGCCGGGCACTAGCTTGTAGTCAGGTAATCTGGATAAGTACAATGAAGTCAAGCAGTTGATATCCACTCTACTTGCCTCCATACAAAACATTAACGATGGACTAGAGAGACTGGAATCTCCACAGGCACTGACGCACGGCCCAGCCACAGGGCTCCTAAATCCCTCTCATGTTATGTTACCCCTTCAAATCCTGCCCCTAGCACATCTGTTTACATTGTCACTCCCGCGTACTTCGTGTCCCCGACCAAACATAAAGACATCTGGAAGGGTTAGTTTCGTCTCCTTACTGATTGCCTCCCACAGTGTCTTAGCGTACAAGTCTTACTAATACTACGATGATCTGTCCGTCGTTCTATAGACCAGAATCCCAGACTCAATCAGAAACTCACTATCCCAGAATTGTCATTACTTTCCCACATGTTTAACTTTTTAGAACAAGGAGTAACCCCAAGCTGTTTGTCTTATTTGCTAACACACTATGTTGGCTACCACTCAATATTAGCGAATGTCCTGCAGTCACCCGGTTTCTTAGATGACTTCCTCACAATAGAACACCCTCACTCCACTCTGCTTAGTATTCACAAGACGATGGTACTTTTTCACCACTATGGGTTCCACTTTCACAAACTGATCTTCTTAGGCATTCATCTTGACCCTATCACGCTACAGAACATGTCCACCTACAGAGAAGGTACAGCGCAACGGAGTCCGGGGAACCTTTTTCTTGCGAAGAGCACGTGTACCTGGGGGGATCTACAGTCCTTACTGGGCACGTTGAACTTCGTCATGAGAATTATTCCTCAGGGTCGCACATTTATTTCCCGACCACTGTGTCTTCTTCCCACCGACAGTTGCATTTTGGCATAGTTGTGCTTACTAAAGCAGACCTACACATATGGCTCAGGTTCCTACCACACTGGAATAGTAGGCCAGGTTATTCCCGCCATTTCTCAACATTCCCCAGTTACATGGACCAATGCAGCCGCACATACCGGTTTCACAGTCAATTTGGTAACTTTTGGTTCTGAGATTCCTGGCCTGGAGGGGGGGGGGGAAGGGGTAGGAGTAGAGAGGGGAAACTGTCAAGTGCTTCTCTGACAATGGAGCAACCGGCGATACCATCAATAAAGGCATATCCTCATCCTTGACAATCATGGCTTGATTGACTAGGCAGCAACACTACAATTTCACACCACGTGGGCACAAATTCCCGGTGGTATGTACAAGCAGCTGGCGCTTTATCTCGCTCTAATTTACAAGACTTCTTTGAAGCTCACCCAACAGCAGGCCTGTCTACCCCCTTCCTTCCCCCCCACCCCCCCTGCATTCCATGGCTTAAAATCTGGACTAACTCGCCTCATGACATTTGGCAGATTTCTGGATAGAGCTGCCCTCTCCGTTTATACATCACGAGCATACAATAGAGATTTCACCTTTACAACAAGTTTACCACCGATTACCATAATACCGATATTCTTTCACTAGACGCCATCGTGACACTCCTCTCCTTTTTGCCCCCTCAATTTAAAACTCTCTCTTAGCACTACAAAACTTTACTTGACTGGAATACAACACCATATCTTAAGTGCCTATCCTAGTACCAAACAGTTCACATCCTCTTACCATGTGACGAATGTACAGAGATAAGGTACTATCCTACGGACAATAAGGTGTCCGGTCAAAATGCCAGACCTTTACAGGTTATCACTGGACTAAACCTCAATATGCCCCTATTTACACTGCTGGGCAAACCACTTGCTACAGCTAAATTCATAATATATCTCAGAACACTCTAAGCTAGGTGGGGACTCAACCACAATGCCTTTTCGGGACATTTGTTCAGAATCGGGGCAGCATCAGCTGCTTCTAGACAAATGTCCCTGCTCACATCATAAACATTAGGATGCTGGAAATCGGCAGTGTATTACTAGATACACACCACAAACAGAGCTAGACTTGAGTAGACAAGCCTTTATGAATCTTGCTACGTAGAGATACGTAATAAGGTTATTTTATTCAATTTTTGCCCTCTTTTATTACAGGCCTACCCGTTACGTCGATTTTGGCACACCACAACCGACTTGCTCATATATCTAACTTATCATAGATACAGCTTTGGTCCCCGACTACAAATTGGAAGGCTGAGTCTGAAGTTGTGGGTGGGGTTACCCGGCTATTTAAACTCAGGCCCCCTACACCATTGGGCTGATGCTGCCGGGTTCATCCCTCCCACCTCTCCCATTATATATATTACTATTACAGGTGGGCCCTCTTTTATTACAGGCCTACCCGATACGTCGGTTTTGGCACACCACAATTGACTTGCTCATATATCTAACTTATCATAGATACGGCTTTGGTCCCCAACTACAAATATATATGTATGTGTGTGTATCTATATATACAGGGAGTGCAGAATTATTAGGCAAGTTGTATTTTTGAGGATTAATTTTATTATTGAACAACAACCATGTTCTCAATGAACCCAAAAAACTCATTAATATCAAAGCTGAATATTTTTGGAAGTAGTTTTTAGTTTGTTTTTAGTTTTAGCTATGTTAGGGGGATATCTGTGTGTGCAGGTGACTATTACTGTGCATAATTATTAGGCAACTTAACAAAAAACAAATATATACCCATTTCAATTATTTATTATTACCAGTGAAACCAATATAACATCTCAACATTCACAAATATACATTTCTGACATTCAAAAACAAAACAAAAACAAATCAGTGACCAATATAGCCACCTTTCTTTGCAAGGACACTCAAAAGCCTGCCATCCATGGATTCTGTCAGTGTTTTGATCTGTTCACCATCAACATTGCGTGCAGCAGCAACCACAGCCTCCCAGACACTGTTCAGAGAGGTGTACTGTTTTCCCTCCTTGTAAATCTCACATTTGATGATGGACCACAGGTTCTCAATGGGGTTCAGATCAGGTGAACAAGGAGGCCATGTCATTAGATTTTCTTCTTTTATACCCTTTCTTGCCAGCCACGCTGTGGAGTACTTGGACGCGTGTGATGGAGCATTGTCCTGCATGAAAATCATGTTTTTCTTGAAGGATGCAGACTTCTTCCTGTACCACTGCTTGAAGAAGGTGTCTTCCAGGAACTGGCAGTAGGACTGGGAGTTGAGCTTGACTCCATCCTCAACCCGAAAAGGCCCCACAAGCTCATCTTTGATGATACCAGCCCAAACCAGTACTCCACCTCCACCTTGCTGGCGTCTGAGTCGGACTGGAGCTCTCTGCCCTTTACCAATCCAGCCACGGGCCCATCCATCTGGCCCATCAAGACTCACTCTCATTTCATCAGTCCATAAAACCTTAGAAAAATCAGTCTTGAGATATTTCTTGGCCCAGTCTTGACGTTTCAGCTTGTGTGTCTTGTTCAGTGGTGGTCGTCTTTCAGCCTTTCTTACCTTGGCCATGTCTCTGAGTATTGCACACCTTGTGCTTTTGGGCACTCCAGTGATGTTGCAGCTCTGAAATATGGCCAAACTGGTGGCAAGTGGCATCGTGGCAGCTGCACGCTTGACTTTTCTCAGTTCATGGGCAGTTATTTTGCGCCTTGGTTTTTCCACACGCTTCTTGCGACCCTGTTGACTATTTTGAATGAAACGCTTGATTGTTCGATGATCACGCTTCAGAAGCTTTGCAATTTTAAGAGTGCTGCATCCCTCTGCAAGATATCTCACTATTTTTGACTTTTCTGAGCCTGTCAAGTCCTTCTTTTGACCCATTTTGCCAAAGGAAAGGAAGTTGCCTAATAATTATGCACACCTGATATAGGGTGTTGATGTCATTAGACCACACCCCTTCTCATTACAGAGATGCACATCACCTAATATGCTTAATTGGTAGTAGGCTTTCGAGCCTATACAGCTTGGAGTAAGACAACATGCATAAAGAGGATGATGTGGTCAAAATACTCATTTGCCTAATAATTCTGCACTCCCTGTGTATATATATATATATATATATAGATACACACACACACACACACACACACACACACACACACACACACACACACACATTTGCAAAGGGTAGCACTCCAAGGACTTATATAAAATATAACTTTTATTTAACTTCGAATAAAAAAAAATGAAAGGTATTGGAAGGTAAATAAGTTAAATTTTATATAAGTCCTTGGACTGCTACCCTTTGCACACTTTTTGTATTCCTGACTGGACAAGCACCGGGCACTACAGTGATTTTCTTTCGTGGAGTGCAAGATTTTTTCGTATACATACACACATAAACTTTATACACAGCCACGTGGACACCAAGGGACATTTTGGCATGGGGACCTCCCCTTATCTATAAACCATTATAAGAACATAAAAAAAAGAGTTGTTAGGGCATTATTAGCATTTTTATTTTCTGGGTGTTTCAGTAGCCACTTGTTCCATATCTTATAAAAGAGGTATTACATCTGACATTATAATAACCTTTTTCCATCAAGCATTGATATGCTACTTTAGACCAATCAAGAAATTCCACATCCTTCCATGTCTAGCGATGATCAATTTCACCGCCATCAGAATGTTAAACACCAGTGTTTTATTTAAGGATGACAGATGAAGGAGGCGTGGCCAGCAGAGCACCTAACCAGACGTCTACCATCAGGGCTCCGATGCAACCCCGCAATAAACCGACCCCAGCAACAAAAATCTCACATCTGAAAACACACTATTCGCAGCCCCCAGCAGAGGACACAATGGGGCCCAAAAATAGAAAGCAGAACCACCCGGAAAACTTTCGCTTGCCGGACATCAGATTCTCCTTCAAGAGGCCCACGCCACCAGCGCTGCCTAAGATGGCGCCTGAGGCCCAGGTCGACCCGGAAACCTCGGAGGACTCCCACGAGGAAGAGGAATCACTTACCTCTTCTCGAGCCAGTGGAGGGTATCATTCCCTTGAGTCATATGAAGACTCCACTCTGTCTCCCAAAGGAGACATCAAGAGACTACTGACCGACCTGAGAGAGGTCTGGAAGGCCGACCTGCATGAGACCCAGGCTGAAATTGGTGTAATCCACCAGAAGATCACAGTGGTGGATGCGAGGGAGACAACCAGAGACCGCAAGCTACAGGCAGCACAGAGCCAAATCGCAGGGCTCACCCAGCAAGTCCACCAGCTAAGCCATGCAGTGGCTACACTGGAGGCCCGCCACAGATGCCGGAACATCCGCCTATGAGGAATCCAAGAAACTGTGGAGGGGGAGGCGATACTGCCCTTCGTCCAGAGACTGACCACCTCCATGGGAATAAAGGGGTGCAATGATCCCCTGCAGATAACGTTGGTGTTCCGAATGCGCAAATCTGCCACAGCGCCATCCGAAGCTCCTAGGGACACCATCACAGTCATGAGGGACGAGGCAGTGAGAACTGCAATTCTGAACCGCTCCAGGCCCTTTGGGACTGTCACCTACGACAGCTGCACGGTATCTATTTACAGAGACCTGCCATTCTTGGTGCTGCTGGAGAGGAGGCAGCTAGCCCCCATCACCAGAAGGCTGAGAGACCAGTCTTTCAAGTACAGATGGGGAACAGAGGGCATGCTAATAGTCCCCCATGGTGAAGAAACGCTCACGCTGTCATCCACTGGAGACCCGGCAGCGTTTCTGCAAAGCCTGGGCATGACAACCACACTGCCCACCGAAACCCAGACGGAGGGAAAACCTAGAAAGAAGAGAGGTTCTAGATGGGATAACCCGCAACCGGCCTGACTGGCGCACCCAGAGTAGCAGCTAACTGGCAGTGGCACATGCCGGGCAGCCAGGACTTGTAGTAAGTCTTGTGATAAGACCCATAGCATTCCCCCCTGTTGATAGCCAAACTTGGCCTCTCGCACAGCTGCACCGCTGTCTTTGTTTCATCTTTATTACACATACGCATCTCTGCTTTGCTCCTCCATCTTCAGTGCTCCCAACCATAACCTAAAAAGCTATCTTTAGGATTAGTTATACCCCCATACAACAGCTAAGATGTATATTCTATGTACAAACTTTAATAAACTGCAAATTAAAAAGGATGACAGATAGACCAAGTCAAAGTGGAACAGCGCCTTTTTCTGGTGTTACCAGAATTAAAGTCCCTGTAAGATCGGAAATTAAAGCAAAGACTCTGAACCACACATTCTTAATTTTTCCACAGGACCAACACATATGAAGTAGATTACAACAGACATGTTGCTCTTTTTCACTTACTTCTCTACCTTTTTTCCTTTTACCTTCTTGTTTATTTGTTAGTGTTTAGATCCATGTTTTAAAAGATAAATAGTAAAGATGTGTGTGCTACTGGCATAGATCAAAGCTTGTTATCTGATTCGGATATCTGTGTAACCCTTAATATCGGAGGACTGGAAGGCAGGATTTTATAAAAAATGCTTCAAGATTTATGTTGATATTTCCTCTCTTTCTTTTTTATCAGTTCTTCATATTCCAGACTCCTCTTACTGCCTCGTTATTATCCTCTCTAACTCGTGTTCTCAAACTTGTTTTTCAATTTGTTTAGCTCACATTTCTCAGTAGTACTACACAGAAATCAAAAATGGACTAGATGAGGTGTTTAATGCAGATATTAATAGATACCTCAAAACATACGAATTTACATTTTGACACTTTGATTATAATAAACTAATAGGTACAACTCAAAATCCAAGAGGAACTTGATGCCCAGGTTGGATTTGAAAGATACCCATTGATCAGTGACAGAGGAAAGTTACACTATTTGGAAGCCACCATTGCTGAAGTACTACGTATTCGCCCCGTGTCGCCGCTGCTCATTCCGCATGTCGCCATGGAAGAATCTAGGTGAGTTAGGTAATTTTCATGAAGTGCCAAGTAAAGATTACTACAGTGTGCGATGACATCACATTATTGTGCCCCAGCAAATTCTGCATGCGCAGAGAAACTCAAGTCTTGGTATAGTAGGGATATCCATCTCCAGTCCAACGTAAATAAAAAAATATTCTGTAATCAAAACAAAATTTAGATGCCCTTTAGAGATGACCTAGGGACAGTTTCAACCCACTAAGGTTAGTGGGCACCGCCCCTCTCCTCCCACTTTAAAATGTAAAAAACACCCGCAATATTTTTAATGTTTTCATTTTTAAAAATTGCACAGATGTGTACATTTTGATAAAACCCTGTCCTGTTCCCTTCTACAAAACCCCTCTCCTGCCCGCCATTCTACAAATGCATGTCCTGCCCCCATTCTACAAAACCCCTGCACCCCCTTCTCAACCCCACTTAAACAAAATCCCTGTCCCCCTTCTACAAACCCCTGCACCCACCTTCCCAAAAAAACCTGCCTCTCGCTCTAAAGCCCCTGCTCAGCCCCTTACAATAGAATTAATTTTTTTACACAACAATATTAGCAACAGTCTTCAGAGTCCAGTCCCAGGCACACAGTCACACACAGAGTTACAGGCAGACAGTCACACAGACAGTCACACAGACAGTCACACAAACAGTTACAGACAGTCACACATACAATTACAGGCAGATAGTTACACACACACACACACACCGTTACAGGCAGCATTCCCCACTCACACACACAATCACAGGCACACACAGACAGTCACGGGCAGACAGTCACACACAGAGTTACAGGCAGACAGACACACACAGTCACAGGCAGACAGCCACACACACACAGTCACAGACAGACAGACACACACACACTCTCTCTCTTTTACTTACAGTCCACTTGGGCTGGAGGAGTGGATTCAGTCCATGCTGTATAGTTGTTGGGGGAAGCATGGACTCCATCCTGCTTCCCCTCGATGTGCAGCAGTAACAGCAGTGGGTGGAGGCAGTGTTTAGCTCTGCGCTCTGCTGCTGGTTTGGCTCCACCCCCGCTGCCATTTAGCCACACCCTGTTTATTTTAGACGAGGCGGTTTTAAAGTTCTGCAGCTGCCTGTACCTGCGTGTGTGAGCTGTGCGTCTGTCATGGCAACCTGTCCTTGCCACACAGCTCACACATCCTAAGGCCACCCAGGTCCGCCCCCCTTCCCTCCCCCACCCTCCTTAGTACGCCACTGTGTGCAATAAAAATGTATGTAGATGTATACAGATTCATATGTGCAAAGCTGGATTAATTGGGGATAAATAGCTATCGTCACTTTGTAGTATTTATATTAATACAACTGAATTGGGGTTTGTTTATGACAGTGAACTGTGATTTTCTTCATTAATAGCATTGGAGAATACACAATTCAAAAAGATGCACGTGTGGTTATAAATCTCTGGTCTCTGCACCATGACCCCAATGAATGGAAAAATCCTGAAGTCTTTAATCCAGGTATGTATTCCAAGAACACATATTTAGTACAGCACTACATATATAAATAAACTCCCTTTTAAAAGCAAAGCTCGGGAGATCTTCATGGAAACATATATCAATATCATCATGTCTCTATCAGGGTTATTTAAAGTGAGAATTCAAAGTGAATTTCAAATTGAAAGCCACAGTAACAAAATCCTTAGGAATTAGGGATTTTTCCAGTTCAGCTTTTTTGCTCTTAAATTTGAAATTCACTGTGAATTCTCACGTTAGTAAATATCTCTGTGTCTCTTAACCTAAGCCCCGTTGACTGATTTATTTTTTTAAAATTTGAATGATCTATGTGTAATCTATGAATAATTTGTTGTCAACTCTGTCCTACGTATGACCCATTCTGTAATGTACAGAACCACAGGCTATGCTTTTAGGGAGTAATTACAACTGGTGTGTTGGTAAACCGACCTAAACAAGCCAACGGCCTAATAAAAGAGTCTCTCAACATTAGAACGCGTCTCTATTGGCTCCTAACAGTTCACAAAAACATTATATAGAGAAAATAATACTATACTTTATTGTAGCTGAAACAAATTGGGGAATTTTTTTTTAGTAGCCAACAGTCTATGGAATTTGTAGAAAATGTAATGTGCGTATGGCAGCACAAAGTAAAAGATATATCTAGCCTTGATTGTATTTACTACCCCCACACCGCCATTCACTGATGGAGGATGTAATATGTGTACATATTGTCAGATCCCAGTACCAACCACCAGTTTCCTTCATAGACTGTACAATGGGAATATTTATGCCTCAATTTCATCATTTTGGACTAGCTTCTTCAAATGATTTTATTACTTTTAGATACATTTAAAAAACCAAATTGCAAATATTAAAATATATTAAATATCAATATATTTATACGATATAAAAAATTAATTATTAAAACCTTTTTCAAAATATTTCGTCATTTGAAAAGCTTATCCTAAAATATGAAATCAAGACCATAATGAGTAATAATAGTTCAAAATTTACATTTTGGTTTTTTAATTTCTGTGTTAGAATACTGCGTTTTAGAAGACCATCAATAAATAATGTTACATTTTTCAGACCGATTCTTGGACGAGAATGGAAATCGTATTTATTCCCCCTGCCCAAGTTACATGCCTTTTGGTGCTGGGATCCGTGTTTGCCTTGGAGAAGCCTTGGCCAAAATGGAAATCTTTCTCTTCCTTTCGTGGATTCTGCAGAGGTTTACCTTGGTGGTTCCAGAGGGTGAACAGCTTCCAGACCTGGAAGGGAGGTTTGGGGTAGTTCTTCAAGTGAACACGTTCAAGGTGATTGCTAAATTGAGGAATGGTTGGGAGAACATAGAAACCGCCACCTGAGAACAGAGGAAAGTAATTTTAAAACATGAAAATGCCGTGCTTTTTTTATTCTTACAAATGACCAAAGACAGTTTATATAGCGAAGTATTTTTCTGCAAATTACCAGTCTTTTTGCAGCAGGCAACCTGTATCACCTGATCTTTTAGACGTCTGCTTGGCCTTTTCACATAATGGTACAGTCATACGCATTTCTTTCTTAAATAAACATATTGAAATTATTTCATTTTGTTTGTGTAACGACATTCACATATTTCTAATTCTGTAGTATTTTAAAAAAATTTTTTACAAAAATCTTTTGTATGTATCGAAAAAAAACTAGCATGGATGAGATTTATATTTTTTATGCATTTTGTATAAAATTCAAAAATAAAGATATACTCACATTAATTGTACCAACATAATAGGACAGTTAGTTGCTCAGTTGTCGTTTGGCTAGGCATATGGTATTTATCAATGCTTCATTAGTTAATATACAAAAGAGGTAACCCAGAGAACAGAATGAAAAATGGCATTCTGGAGGCCTCGCTTCATGGCTTCTTGTCCAATCCAATGCTTCTCATTGTAACATGCGCTATGAGCACATAATGAACATCACAGAACAGAGGCAGACTTGGTTCTCACTGGAAAAGCCCCTCTAGTAGCTTTCAGGAGGACAGCCACTAGAGGTGTGTTTAGCTATGTAATCTACCAAACTGCAGTGTTTTACATGGAAGGGCTAAAATCCCAGTGGCACTGGACCCAGACCATTTAAATAAGATGAAGTGGTCTGGGTGACTATAGTGTCCCTTTAGAGAGACATAGCCTAAAAATTGGTTGTGTTAAAATCACATGAAGCAAGAGGACACATCTGAGCTCAGTAATAGAACATTAACAGGTAGAACACTAAAATTTGATTTACTTGATGACTAATGAATGCTTAAAAATGTGGTGAAAAAACCCCAAACAAAGTATTTCAACAGTTTAACAGATCACAGACACCAACAGGATTAAGACTAAGTGCACCATAAAGTTAAAGACCACACTAGCATAACCAGTGAGTCCATTAAAGAATGCCCAAGTTTCAGTTTTCAGATATGCACAGGAAATAAAAAAAAACATGTAGCATTCTGGAATAAATTCTTACAGATAGAGAAAATTGATGTGAATGTTGAATGAAGATGCCAATAACCCTACACTTACCACCTCATTTATTTAAATATGGTGGCAGTCAATAGTGTAGCAAATATGGTCGCAGAGTTCGCAGGTCCGACCAGACCTGTCACTTCAGGCATCACTTCAGAGCCTGTGAACGGCTGCACCTGCCCAAGGCGCAGCCGTTCACACAGAGGGAGAGACGCATGGAAGGGCAATTAGATACATGGAGGGGCACTGTGTACTCAGCTCTCTGATCATTTAAAATAAAAAATTACAAAAAAAGACACCTGCATTTGTAACTGTTTCAAAATGTAGCAATATTCACATCCCCTCTGCTATGTCTCTCGTGCAGAGGGAACTTGCTGGCATTTCGGATCTGGACTGCCCGTAAGGGTGGGACTAGTCTGATATGTTTCAGAGATGTTTTCTCTGTAATGGCACAAGATGAGCTAAAACCAGCTAGAGATCTGAGCAGGGACAGGCTATTTCAGCTGCTGCCCGTTCTCAGTATTTTCTTGCGCTCTGTTTTTTGCTCTACATTAGTTTAAAGGGTCATCCAGACGTAGACCCCTTGCTCACGGTGCCTAGAGAGATATCAGCAATGACTCACTGATGATGCCTAACAAGGCTGAAACGATCGTCTGGGGTTGCTATGTCTCTCGTGCGGAGGGAACTTGCTGGCATTTCGGATCTGGACTGCTAGAGATCTGAGCAGGGACCCACCGAAGGGCAGGCTATTTCAGCTGCTGCCCGTTCTCAGTATGCTCTTGCGCCCCTTTTTTTTCTCTCCAATATTCACATAATTGCTTATTCTTGGAAAGTTGTTTTTTTAAATCATGTAAGGGACCACATATAAAGCAGTGTAAGAGCTTGACGTAAAAAATAAATTAACTTGGTTGGTGTTCCTTTGGACGGCAGCGGGATCCAGATGTGTAAATGCTGTCTGAATCAAATTGCTTTACCAGCAATCAACACTTTCACAGTTGCCAGAAATAATTAATTGCAGTGGAATCTTCAGCTGTGAGGAAATTAGGTTCATAATTAAATATTGAATCACAGTAATTTCATTTCAACTGTTTAGTCCGGAGGAGATACATCTGCAGGGTAAGTTTAAAAACCTAAAATTTTGTTATGGAAAAAGTATTCTGCATGCGTAAAGATTAAAATTAGGGCTGGCAAATGTGAATTCTTAAAGCAGCACTACAGTGTGAAGAATACATCAAACTACAGTGACCCTCTGCCTCCGCAGACCCCACCCCCAGTTCTTCCCAGGCCATGTAAAAGGTTTAAAAAAAATATTTAACTTTAAACACATACCTGATTCCAGTACCGATGTCCCTCGGATCAAGGTTGGGCTCGTTCTCCTCTGACGTCAGCTGACGGGGGGAACCTAATGCGCTTTCAAAGCATGATGACGCCCAGCATAATTTTGCGGAGTAAACCTCTGTGGCTGTTTTGTAGACAACCACTAGAGGACTTAACCCTGCAATACAATTATTGCAGTTTCTCATAAACCGATATAATTAAAATTACAGAGTTAAGGGCACGAGGGCACTGAAATTCCAATACAGTCAAAAACTATTCTAGATACTATTTCCATGACTGCGTTAACATTCTGCGACGGCATATTCAGCAGATATTCTTACATTCACTGCTATTCGATGCCATGACTGCTATTACATTCTGCCATGCTTTCATTCTGTGACCGCTTCTTAAACTTCTGCTCAACCACTGCATGCATGCCACAACCACTGCATTTTGTGACTCACTCTGTGCTGATCAGCAGTACAAAATATATAACTTCCCATATTTCTAACCATCATAAATTCAATCGAATTTGATCTGGCCTGGCAGAATACACATTCACAAAAGGTGAAGGAAAGAATTCTGCAGCCCAGTCCAACTAGCGCTCAAACTTAATGATTTTTGTAACGTGATAAATGTGCCTATAGGTAAAAATTACAAAGTCACAAGAGCCATGACTTATCACAATTAAGATTTTAAAACCAAAAGGAATATGACCAAAACAAAAAAATAATAAGGAATTAAAACACAGTGTGAATTTCCAAAATAGTCATTGTTGATTCTGAGAAATTAAATACCAGAGAAGCTCAACTTAATAATGGAATGTGTCCCAACATATATGTGACAGGGGTCCATGTTTCTGTTTTTTTCCAATCACATGTCAAGAACAGGGTTTGCATATTGGAAAGTGCCATGATTTCTAACATGTCCACACAGATGCCTTATGAAGTGTTTCATGGTCTGCCTCTATACTTTTGGTACAGTTAACACTTTCAGATTCTCAGTCAAGATCACGATCTGTCAGATACACATACCTTACACAGTTTTACAACTGCCCCAACCCCCCAATTTGCACAGAACCCTTTAACCCTTAACATCTTGGATAAAACGACCGTTAACCCCTGCAAGCTTAAAGGGAATTAAAACCTGTTCTGTACTCGACAAAACCAAAATAGGATTTCAGCAGAAAAGGTTAGCAGTCACAGAGTCATAAATAAGGGCAATACAGAGAGAAGCCTATTTTATTTATTTATTCATTATTGCCTTTTCCGCATCTCTGTAATGGACACAATAGAGTAGTGTTCAATCCCGGGTGTCCATTTAAATACCAAACACAGGAGGAGCCCTACCTTTAAACTTTCTCATGGGTAGATATATAAATTGCACCTAATTTCACCAAAGTGTAGAAATTGCTCCACTAAATACTCCTTTAATACTACTTCGGAGAGAAAAAAAAAAACAGCTTGCTACCAGCACTATGGAAATTAGCAATAGAAACACATTAGGCACAGCTTAGGTAACATGGGCTGACTTGTGAAAATCCTAGAGCAGGGGTGAAGATAGATCACCAGATGTTTTTAAACTACAGTTTCCATGATGTTTTGTCATTCTAAAGGCATGCAAAGAATCATGGGAGTTGTAGTTTTACAACATCCAGGGAGCTACCTTTTTGGCAGCTCTGCCCTAGAGTTTAATAAAGAGCAAAAACCTAAACAGATGTTTTGCGTCTCCTGTCCCTTTAGCAATGTATAATGACATTGCGGTAATGCAGTTACAGCCTTCACACCGATTTTTATTTTTGGAATTCGAAATATATTTTTTTAATGTGTTCGTTAAAGTCACGTGGTCTGTAGATGACGTAATTATGTTTTATATCAAAGTGCACGAGAAGACTTTATCTACAGAGATAGTGGACAGACCAGTAAAAATGTAGAAATTTCGCAATGGAAGGATTTCCTAGGATAATCATTTGTAAAGCAGGTGATATGTTTGACGTAGTGCCACAATTACCTTGTACAGTGCTGGCACAACAAGAGGGTGACCAAGAGAGCTTTGGCTTTTACAGAACCTAAACTCCCATGGCACTTTGATTCTAGAGTTCCATTCTATACAGTGCTTTAAAAGGAACGTTTCTAGTACCATAACCACTACATCACACTGCAGGGGTTATGGTACCACGATGCCCTGGTGCCCTCATGAGATAGTCAAACCTTTTGAGAAAGGTTCGGCAACTTACCTGGGGTCTGCCAAGCATCTGCTATCACCTTGTCTTTAGCTAAAAGTTCCCTGCACAGAGAAGCAGTCAATGATAAAGTAACACAACAAGTGCAAACGTTGATAATGGATTTATTGATAGAAGCGCAGCCCCAGATAACGACATTTCAGCTTCAATAATCCTTAATCATGTATGAATACTACAGTGACCGCAACGGTTTTTATACACAAAGTCTCAGATCATGTGAATAGCAAGTGAGCAAATTTATCCAAAAAACCCAAAAAACCAAAACAAATAAAAACTATAAGGGGCACCGTGACCCTCTTTCTTCTTCTTGCATCTTACCTTCTACCAGAAAGAAGAGACTCTGACTTGAGTTGTCCTAGCTGCTTACTAACATTATCGGAAGCACTAGAAATCCCTTTTTTTAAAATGTATTTTAAAAACTATATTACTCATTAAAATAGTGATTTCTACAATTAGGGATATAGGATACATTACAACCATACATTTAGAATACTTAGCATGAAGTGCATTGTCCAATAATGAAATAAAGTGTTACCATCATGGAGCATTACAA